TCCTGGACTGTATTCTGGAACACGACCGTGACGAACGCCGTCCCGCGTGCGCGGTGACACGCCCGCCCAGCCCATGCGCTCCGCCCCGCCACGACCCTTCCGCTCGGTCAGTGCCGGCGGTGCCGGCGCGCCGCGGACTCTTATCGGTCTCAGGTGGCCGCGGGGCGGGGCGGGGGAGGAGGGGAAGACGGCGCACCCTTCTCGCCCCGCCGCGCCCCGCGCCCCGCCACCTGTTGTACGGTGCAGAGTGTGCGACACACGCGTGCACCGCCGCCGTGCTGGCGTGGAAGGCCCCTGTTTACGACCCGCAGCCACCGCACCGTGTGCAGCACCGCGACGACCGATATATAGGTGAGAAGATGTGATCAGGGGGGCCAGAGCTTGGCCACGGTATGCCTCTTCGTGCCTACGTGTGTGCGTTTCTACGCTGCACTTCGGGAGAGCCGTGAGGCCGCGCGACGCCTTGCTGTCGTCGCGACGCTGCCGCGTCGTGTGAGGGCAGTAAAGTCCCCGGCGGCCCGGCCGCGCCACGGCGCTACACTATCAGCAGCAACGCCGCGCCGCTCCCCGCCGCCGCTCCCCTCCTGCCCGCCCCGCAGCACCACGGTGTTGAAATAAATAAGGTGACGTGCTGACAAGCCAGTCGTAAACCCTTATTGAAGTCGCCGCGCCCGCGAGTGCCGCGCCGCCGGCCGCGTCGCACAGCAGCGGCGGCGGCGCACTTGTGGCGCGCGAACGCGCCTCCCGCGACGATTCACGTATGATCGTAATAACCTGCCGCTCTGTTCTCTTTGAAAGCCGAGGTAACTCCTCCGGCTGGTCTCTGGGTCCCCGAGTGGGTCCCCCAGTTCCCCTCACCCCTCCTCCCCCGCGGCCGTGTATGACGGCTGGAACAATGAGCAGTAACCTCCGCTCGGTGCTCGGTGCGCCGCGCTGCCGTCCGCGCCGCGGTCGCGACGTGCCTCCACTCGGGGGGCGGTGCTAAGCTGCCTCGGTCGGGGGCGGCATGGCGGAGCAGGGCGGAGAGTCCAGGGCGGCGGCGGCGTGGCGGGTGGTGCGCCTGCCTGCGGAGCTGGTTGCCTTCAGCGGCGTCGCGGTCCACGGCGAAAAGTAATTGTAGTTCCGTTGGTGTTTTCGGGCGCGGCGTGGCCCTGTGGTGGCTGCTGGCGACACGACAGGTGGACGACGAAAGCTCTTGGTGGTGGTGGTCTCGAATCGCATAGCATTTGGCGCGGCATGGCGTGCTAGCGAGCTGCGAGCTACTCTAGAAGGCCATGCGCGGCCCGGCCCGCCCCGGCCCCGCGGCGTGAAGTGAAACAAAGCGACGGAACGAACCAACACCTCGCTGACGACAAGGCGGCGGAATGCCGGAAGCAGCACCGCAGCCGCGGCACCGCGTGTGAGGCATAACGCACCGCACCACGTTGGACGCCCCGCGGTCCTGTCCGACCCGTCACTTTGTCACTTCGGCCCGTCACTTTGTCACGCTCGTCGTCACGGCCGTCGTCGGCCGCCTCTTCTTGTGTCCGCCGCCGCAAACGTCCCATGACTGTCGCGGGGATGATGGAGTTACGCCCCTCTGGCTCGCGCCGGCTGGACCGCGGCGGGGGTTGCGCGGCCGGGTGCGCGCGGCCCGGTCGGTCGGCGGGAGGAGGCGTTGACCTTGCTGGCGCTATCAGGCGGCGACGGGGCGGCGGCGGCCCGGGGGCATCCCGACCATTGGCAGAACATGGCACTAATAGCGCGTATCGATAAGCGGATGGCGCGAGTACCTTGCATGGGCGCCGCCGCGCCTGCTGCACTGCTTCATCATCGTCAGCCTCGTACTAGTCTCTCATCCAGAGCACCTAGCAATGCAACACTTTTCGTAGCATTCACCCGCGCTAGGGAAGCGCGCACCTCTTTCCCTGAGGTGGCACTCAACGCCGCACCGCCGTTCGATCTCGGTACGCCACCGCGTCCCGTCTCTGATTTTCGGTTTCGGTTTTCGTTTGCTGTGTGTGGCGCTTACAATGCCGCGCCGGGACCCCACACCACCCGCGAGCGCTGTCGAAGAGGGGCGCGGATGAGAGTTTCGGGGCGATAGCGCGCCTGCCCGCCATGGCCCGCCCCGCACCGGCGCACCGCGCACCGCCCGGCGATAGAGCAAAGCTCGAGCAAAGCTCCCCCGCCGCGCCATCAGCCACATCGCGCGGCCCGCCCATCAGATAGCGGCGGCGGCGGCGGCGGCGGGGCTGTGTCACTCCGCGTCACTCACATATCACAGTCCCTTTGCTCTTGTGCGCTGCCGTCGCCTTGTGCACCTGCTGGCTCATTCATAGGGACATAATACACCCTCCCCTCCTCCTCCTCCTCCTCCCTGTTGCGATCATCCTCTTCGAGCACCGCCGAGGCGGCGGCGGCGGCCGCCGTCCAAACGATAGAGAGCTCGCTCGCTCCGGCGCCATAATTTTACGACCGTCGGGACGCGAGCAGGACTATTGTTATTTGGGCTACAAAACGCAATACTTTGCGTCCTCGGTGCTGCGTGACCGCGCCGCAGCTTGGCGTCTCCTGCCTCTCTCGCACACAGCGCCCTGCTGCAGGACTCTACCGACTCACTCTCACTCTACCCTATGCCCTCTGGCCATGGCGGCAGGTGGCAGGTGACAGGTTGCCGGGGACACGGGCACTCTGACTCCCGCTGCTGCTGCACGCGGAATATGACGTCACGTATGTGTGTTCAAGTGTGAGCTCATTTCACAAACGCCATCATACACGTACACACACATACACACACACACACACACGAGGTGGTGGATATAATGCTGATCGTCTCGCGAGTTACGCGAATTCTTGAATCATTCTCGGTTCTCGCCCTTTGCAGCTCAAGGGGGTGGGATTGGAAGTGCTTGTTCATAATGTGACGTCAAGTTTTCTTTACCGGTGGAAGTAATTAATTACGATACCCTCTTCGAACTCTAGTTGGTAGAAACGGTTTTTTTTTTTGGGGGGGGGGGCATGGTGTATGCAGCTCCTTGAGCTGATTAACATTCTCATGGTATACGGGGTAGTTTTATCACGTTTTAAAGCTCCTCATTACCATCGCTTAACTTGTAAGAAAGAGTTCCGTAAAAGGCGGATATGGAACGAAATTTTGAAACTCTTGTTTATTAGGCCACTGATATGGTGATTGTTGAACTCTGTCCCTCACAGGCAGGCTCCGGCTCGGGCGGCGAGGAGCACAAGCTTGACTTGGTGGTCTGACGGCGAGCCTGGCGGCCTGACCAGACCAGGGCACCGACACCGGCCGAGCCGCACTATCTCCACGTGTGTGTTTGACCCGGACAAACAGTCTCGTCCTGGACAGCGCCCGCCACGCCCCGCCACACCTCGTCCTGCCGTGCCGTGTAGGGCAGGGGGGGTCGCCCGCATGGACACGTTGCGCAGTGCACCCAGTCCGGTGCGGTGGTGGACGACGGACTTCCCCCAGAGCGAGCGGTGGCGAGCGGTGCGTCGCAGGCCGCCGAGGACGGACGCAGTCAGTGTGAGTTAAAACAGCGACCTCCCGACCCGACCTTCTCGTAAGTTGTGCCTGTGCTTCCTGGAGGTGGTGTGCCAGCCTCCTCCCCCTCCCTTTTCTTTCACCTTCTCGGTTTTTCCCTTATCGGCCGCCCGCTTTTTGCAGCCGCCTTGCAATTACTGGGATATATTTTTTTTATCACCAGCGCGAATCAACGTGGAGCCGCAGCTGTTCAAGAATCATCAATGCACTTCGTTTTAAATGCCTGCCGGCTCTACAGGGCCCCGGCCTCTTCGATGACGACGCTCTGGACTCTCTGGCGCGGCCACCAGCCACCTTCCCCACCCCTCCCCACCCTCCCCTCCTCCTCCTCCCCTTTCCTCAGACACTCTCGTGCGTGTTTGCTTAGGACCGGCTCGGTGCGCACCTCAACCCCGTCGACCGACGGCGTTGACTTGTAATAATCAAATCTCAGTTTTTCAGGAAAGTCGAGAGCGAGCGAGCGAGCGAGCAGCAGGACGCGGCGAGCAGCGCAGCGAGGGGTTGCCGCCGGGCTGCAGTAGTCGCGCTGCCCGTGTTGCCGTTGAGCTCCGTGTTGACTCTGCTGGTTAGGGCCGCGGCTGGCATCGCATCGCCCTGCCTGCCTGGCGCACACCGGTGGCCGCCGCGCCGTGCATTGGCAGGCCTGTCCGTCCAAATCGGGCTGCCTTTTCGCACGGGGCGGCGCGCGCACCGGGAGCGCGTCGACACGAGCACCTCCCCGTCGTCTTCACCACCACCACCAGGACGACGACCGCAAGCCAGGAGATGGGAAGCAGGGCGCTGAGGCTGCCGGCACACTGTGAGCCCGGACTATCAAGAGAGCTATCCGTCGACAGTATACATTCGATACACTGTCATGGAGTTGCTCTCTTTATGGCCGGCGCAGCAATACGTTCCCGAGCAGCTCGTCCGCGGACGCCTCGCACCTGGGGGATGAAATAGAGGTCATGCAGGTAAGATGTCGGCTTTGGCTAACCCACCCCCCAACGTTTCACGAGGCGACACGCCTCGGATAGCGCCTGCAACGCGCCGGGTAGGCAGACCCGCCACGCAGCTGTGTGGAGACGGCGGCCCGCCCGGAGCGCCCGCGCCTAGGTTCTACCCGCGCCCAAGGCCAAGTACGGGGGTGCGGGGCAGGCCGCTTGAGAGAGAGACGAGCTCTCGCTGTCGTTCTGATTGGCTCCCGGAGCTGTTCGGCTTCAAACCCGAAGACCAAAGTACCGCTGGGCTGGAACGACGATACCTCGCGCCACTTCGGGGAACGACGTTTATTGTGGAATCTGTAGGAGCACCCTAACTAACTGTTAACAGTCAGAAATTTTTCCTACGATATCGTCTCGACATCGGTTTTCGCGTCGTTAGCAATACTTTTGTGGGGCTGGAATCGACGGCGTTTTGACAAACGACGTCGTTTCGATGTCGTTTCGACGTCGCTTGTCGAAAAGCCGTCGATTCTCGTCCTAGCCCCGCTGTAGAATCGCTAAAGGCGTTAAAACCGATGTCAAAACGATATCGTATATAGGAAAATATTCTGACTGGGTTTTTTTTAAAAACCATATCTGAATTTTCAAAAAGTGTTTATTCACTACTATTCATCTCAATATTCGTGTGGATAATTACTATGAAAACATACTTACGGAAATGGATTCCTGTACTTTTCAATTTCTGTTCCAATAAGTGAAAAGAAAATTGGTAATATTGCGCCTCATTCAGTTGGTAGCACTTGTAAGGAATGTTGTTGTTGTCTGTTGTCTGAATCCGGAGAGGGTGGAGAGTCGTTGAACTTTCAATTAGTATCTGTACTATTTATTTTGACTTGTGAAAAAACATTTTGTAAGAAATGCTGGTCAGTGGCGACAACGTTGAGAATACGCAGGTGAGTCGGATTGTCTATTTGGTTGGGGGCTGGCCATGCCACCATACTTGACCGGATAGTTCCATCCCCAGAAAGTGAGGTTAGGTGTTATCATTTGGTTTTAACTTTTTGTTGAGGACAAACTAGCAACAGCTTTAGCTGATCAGCAACATCGCGACGTGTTTTTAAGCCACGGGTTTCTTTCTTGACTTGTAAGAATCATATGCCTAATGCCTACGACCCAAGTTCCAAGTTATCGCCTTGTTTGCCTGGTAGCGTAGCAGTGCATGTTTCAAGGGACAATACTTTTATTTGAGGTCAGAAAATGATCAAATGCGCGATTTACCCGCCTTTCAATATGCAATTTAAGCCAAATTAGTGAGTTGTCTACCTCTACGTTACTCCGGTATCAGGAGTAGAGGCTAGAGCAACCAGGAACCTTCATGTTCTGCCCGTTCTTCTTCTTCCTCTGTAAGCCAGGTGCGGTATAAGGTGCGGCGGACAGGAGGTGGGTGTGGGGGTGGGGGCGCCGTGGGTTGCCTACTTACAGGGGTTTTGTGGCACATTTTGCGTACCTGTCAGGCTGCTCACTATAGCCGATAAGGCGATCGTCCCCCCCCCCTCCTCCCCTTACACCGTTCCTGCCGTAAGCCGAAATGCACTATAGGGTACCCCGCAGGGCGATCGAAGGAATAGAGTGCTCTACTTCCGTTCTCCCGCCACCCGCCCCTCACCCTGTTTCAGCTGATTTTGAGAGCGTTTCCGGGTGTTTTCAGTAGGGCGATCAGAGAGCTACTGGGAAACGTTCTTTCACCACCCCCTCACCCAGAATTAGCAGATTTCCGCACCAAGGGCAAATTTCGCGCCAAGATCCACCACCACACGCGGTTAACTGGATCGTGGCGCCTCCTACCCCTCCCTCCCTCACAGTTTTAATTTGGAGTCCATTTTCTCAATCATTAGCACCTCTTGTGGTGTAAGGCGGGCCTTTTAGCTTTTCATGCTCTTCGCAACCCCATCGTGTGCTTGCAGAGCGTGATGCTGGACCAGTTACCAGACGACGTACTGCTGGAGGTGATGCAGCACCTGGACCTGCCGGCCCTTTTCACCTGCCGCCTCGTGTGCAAAAGGCTCGGGTTTCTGGCCCTTCACCCGTGCGCGTGGCGTCGTCGGCGAGTCGACTACGGTCTCAGGCGCTGGACGTGTCCAGTGCTGCGCCTGGCGCCGTGCCTAGAGAGTCTGGAACTACGTGTCTCATCACCAGGGTGTCACAAACTGCTCTCCGCCTCAACCAAGTGCCGTGTCTCTGAATTAGAACTGGACGTGGAGAGCAGACGCGCGGCCTCTCACGCATGTCGGATCATCCGCAACCAAGACGATATCGGCGGGCTTTGGGGTCTTACAGTGGTCTTCAAAAATTGCGCTCCCGGCGACGAAGCCGCTGCACTCTTGGCGGCGGCGTCGTTGTGTGGCCCTGAGGAGCTCATTGTTAACTTCTTTGGCTATAAAAGCGGACCCTCCAGGACCTCCAGGACGTCCGTGGACAGCCCCGTTGTTCACGATACCGAGTCCAGGTCGCCTCTAAAGCGTTTCAGTGCCTCCTGCTTCTGTCCGCAATTGGAGCCCGTCTGCAACTCGATCCTGGCCACCCACGCCCACACCCTGGAGCAAGTCCTCGTTGGGTCCGCAAAGGTAGAATCGGCCTCTGGCGGAACCTCGTACATGACATCGGTAGCACCCCTGCTGGCCGGCATGCCAAACCTTCAGGACCTCGAGTGCCCCCTGCTCCCCGGGCTGGAGGCCGTGGCAGCCTGCGATTCGATCACACGGGTCTTTCTTGATATGGTGCCCAACACGGCACGCGCCGTCAGATCGGCTGCCGAGTTTCTGCGCCGCGCCAAGCACCTGCGCGATGTCACCCTGGAGTACTGCGGACATCTGGACGGCCACCTCGGCGTGGACCTGGTGTTGGCGCTGGCCTCCGGAAGGTCGCGCGCGACTGTCGAGTCGCTGACCTTCTACCTAGGCGACTTAGTCGACGTGCTGCTGCCGTCGCTGCTCCGCGCGTTGCCCTCGTTGCCGGCCCTGCGGCTTCTGGAGGTGGATGACGACTCCGATGAGCTTCTGCTGGGAATCACGCCCGATACGGTGCCGGTCCTGGAATCCCTCCGGATTCTGAATTTCGGCTATTCGCCGTGCGCCCACAGATGGTTGCACAGGGACTCGGTCAATGTGCTTCTGTCGGCGAATCCCTCGCTGCTGCTATGTCCGAGCTATTCTGACATGTTTTGCCCCATCGACTCTGGTGATGAAGCTAATGACTCTGATAGCTCCTCAGATAGCTTTGATGTCACTCCCTGTAAAGCATGTGCCATGGGCTGCCACCAGGGCCTGCTTGACAATATTGTTCTCGAAAATATCGAACGCCAAACTGTATCATCATGGACACCACTCCCTCGTGGCGTTCCTCAATAAAATTGATACCTTTCGGTCGACGAACATTTCGTTTTTGTGTTTATTTCTTGCGATTGCGGTTTTGTGAATAAATTATCAATTGCTTATGTTAGTTGTTGTCCATGTCTCACTCACTAACCATTCTCCAACTCAGACCGAAACCGTAAATGTACTGTAAACCAAACCGGCCTGTTCCAGAGGGATACAACCTTATCTCTCTTCGGAGGCATATGAGGAGTCAGTTAAAAACTGTAGGTTGGTGCAGCCAACAGGAAGAAGCAAGGAGAGAGAAAGCATAAATAGTTCCTAGTTGGTCACTACCAGCATGACCTCGAACACATTGATTCTGTCACCAATTCGTGATGATATCTTATGATCGCATTTCGATTCGCATTCAATACATTTGCGCCACTCGGGAATGTAGGGGGGGGGGGGATTCGCACTGTAACACTGAATTTTAATTTCATGGTCACAATCACTGCAGAATACTGCGGAACTTGCTTCCATTTGTTGAGCCACTTTTCACGTAGAACGATCCTCTGCAAGCTTCGTTTACCCAATTTCCACATTACAAGTTCACGCATCGCTCTCGAGAGAGAGATGACTTCCCCTTCCCCTGAGATTCTTTTGTCTCACTGTCATTCTGCCACATCGCCACATCTCGTCTCCGCGCGGTCGGCAGAGCCAATTGGGTCGCCCACCTGCCAGGCGCTCGGCTGCGTCCCTGCCGATAACGTTGGGTTTGTTTGGCTGCCTACTCGGCAGGCGTCCGAGGCAAAGTACTTCTCTCTCTCTCCTCTCTTGGAGGCGCGCGCGCGCAGGGCGAGTACGATAGGTTGCCGACCGGCCGGGGCTAGCCGTCGGCGCACGGTGCAGACTGCGACTCCCGGAGCGCCAAACACCAAACGCGCGTTTCGAAACACTCCGGCGTTGTTATTACTTCACAAACACAGCGGCGGGCCCGGGCACTCTACTTCCCTGTTGGGGCGGAGCGCGGGCAGCGAGTACCGAGAGGTACCGTGGCCGAGTAGAGCGAGGCGTTCCAGGGGGTGGGCCGGGGCGTATCCGCGCGCTGAGCGGCGGCGCCGTCCCCGGCAGGCACACGGGCCTCGTTGCATCAGCGCACTGCAAGTTGCAGTCGCACTCTGGACGTCTCGTCTGCGCACTCTGGTGGAGCGACGGACGCTCACGGCTCAGTCAGCAAAGACTGTGTAGAGAGGATATGAGGAAGTTGCCCGATAAGAGGAACAAGAAGAAGGTGGCACTGAGGAGGTGGCGTGGCGTAGCGCCGTCCCTAAACAAAGCAGAAGATGAGCGACAGTCTAGCAGAGGTTAGGATGCGTGTCGTTAGATTTCAAACAGTTTAGAACGGGCCTATGCATATGAGGAAGTTGCCCAATAAGAGGAACAAAAAGAAGGTAGCACTGAGGGGGTGGCTTGGCGTAGTGCCGTCCCGAAACAAAGCAGAACGTCGGCGACCATACTGTGTTTCATCGCGAGTGGATGTGTTATCATAAATCAAGTTTTGTAGAATTTGTAAAGAAAAAATGGGTCCATACTAAAACGGCGTAACAACATAGTGTCAAAAAGTGCTTCTGCAAAGTTTGGCTTCTGAAAAGTAAGTTTATACAATATTCTAAACCGTCCCGGTGTCGTTGTTTAGGTTAGTGTACGGACATATTACATTGGTACTATTTTAACTCAATGATCATGACTCAACTGTCGTAATAAACTTTGGTAAAGGTTGTACCAAGGTGCTAGATCCATAGGCCCGTTCTAAACTGTTTGAAATCTAACGACACGCATCCTAACCTCTGCTAGACTGTCGCTCATCTTCTGCTTTGTTTAGGTACGGCACTACGCCACGCCACCTCCTCAGTGCTACCTTCTTCTTGTTCCTCTTATCGGGCAACCTACCTCCTCATAGTGTGGTGACTCGTCAGAGGGGGGGGGGGGGCTCTGCAGCAGCCCGCGGCGGCAACACTCACTCGCAGGGCGCGGGTAGCCCCCCTCCCCCCTTCGCTCCTTTCTCTGTGAAAGCACCATTCGGCCGCTGGCCCCGAGCCCAACCCGCCGCGCAACGGTCGCGGCCGCGTAAGCTGAGTCCCGGTGGCGGGGCCGACGGTGCGGGCGGCGCGGGCGGGGGCTAGCCCGCCTCGACTGTGTCCACCCCCGCCGCCCCGCCGCGGCCAACTAAACTGGCGGCCCGCGTGCGGCCCGCGTGCGGCCCTGCCCTGTCGGTGCCCCGTCAGTCCCGACCCGCGGCCAGCCTCGCGCGCGCCGACCCGACGCCCTGCCCGACGTCACCGCTGCGACCGACTGCAAGCAGTGCCTCCCGGCGGAGGACGCGGCGGCAAAAAACGCGAGCGTTTCGCGGTGTGGTGCGGTGCGTGGTGGAGAGCGGAACTGTATCGCTGCCAGGGCCGTGGTGGTGGTGGTGAGTCCCGGGAGGCCCAGCTGATAGGCGTAGGCCCGGGAGCGGGGAGGAGAAGGGAGGGGCGGTGAGCGGCGGCCCGACCCGGCCACCACCGACACCAGTCGGACATCGACGTGAATTTGAAATGCCCCGGGCCGCCGCGCCGCCCCGTCTTCCAGTTGCGGCCGCCGCCGCGCCGAGCGAACAGAGCGAGGCACCGTCGTCGTCGGGGCGCCGCCGCCGTCCCGGGTCCGAGCCGCCGGCTGAGCTGCTGGTCTGCGGCCGCCACTACTAGTCGTCTGCAGTGTGTTTGTGAGTCTGGCGTGCGCGCGATATACACCGTCCCGCCGGCAGCAGCTCGCGGCGTGCAGCGAAACGCACCCAGGATGCGGCGCCGGCGCAGCACTGAGGAGGAGTCCCTCATAGCGTCCGCCAACGACCCGGAGGACGACATCCAGCCGGAATGGGTGTACCGCATGCGGGACAGGTGAGTGCGTGATCGCGATAGGCCCGCCCCCTCCCGCCCAACTGACCGTGCCGGCTGTCACAGGGACTGCCCCTTTTACGCGCGGTTTTGGGTCCGGATGACAGCGATAAGGGGGGCGGTGTTCTTTGAGTTACCTTCATACGGATTGGAGAAGCGGTGGGAGGGAAAGGGAAATATGCCTACCTTTCAGGCGGCTTCTTAGTCAGGCCTGACTGGTCGACAGGCGGGGGTCGGCGCCCCTCTTGAAACTTCGCTTGTGCCCTCCAGCCGCTTTGAGCACCATACAACCACAACATATGGGCAAGGTAGCCAGAAATTCACACACCGTGACCCAAGTTAACAAAAAAACTGCAAATAACTGCAAAATGTGGTTTTCGTGCTTATTGGGTGCACTGCACGATGATGGCAACCACAGGGTTCACACCACCAACATCACACATATTTATTGTAGAAATAAAAATTAACGGGATAATCAGATCGATTTTGGGTGGGCTACTTAATTTCTAATAGGCCCACGCACTTCAACTCCTTTGTCTGCTGCACGAAGGCTCTGCGGAACAACGGGTTATTCATATATTACCTTTGAAATCTATAACCCAGGAGCGGGGTCCAGGCTCGCCCAGGACGACTGTTACGCGACAGACTCATCTTACCCCCCTCCCCGGTGATGGAGCACCACAGCCTTCTTCCAATCCGACGGGGCGGGGCGGGCGAGGGAGTGCCACTCTGCGAATACTGATGGGCTTCCTGCTTTACACTCACACGTGGTCACATCTGATGGCCAGCCGTTTGTTACAGAGTTATGGCAAAAAGAGGAGTGTTGTTGGGATATTCCGGAGGAAAGGACTACACATGAACAACTCGCCCCGCTGACAGCGTGACGTCGTGGAGCTCAGGAGCGTCGCGTGTTGATAGTTTGCACTGTGTGCTACGTAATTCCTGCCGCATGACCCCTGGAGTTCAGGTTGCATCCTCGAAAAAACACCGCGGGGCATATGGTGCCGCCGCCGCAGCCCGCCACACCACGCCACGCCAACCTGGACTCCGCCTCGTCCCGGCCACGGCGTCGTATTGCCCAAGCTCCCCAAGCCGCTGGGGAGAGGGATGGGGAGAGAGGGAGAGAGGCTAGGCGCAAGTGGTCTATCCAGGTGCGGACGCAACTCGCCCCCCCCTCCTCCGCCACGTCCTCGCGTGCCCAGGTGGAGGCCGGGGGAGGGCGGTGGGAGGAGGGATGCAGGAGGGAAGGACCAGGACCACAGGCAGGCCGCCGACCTGGCCCAATGCACCGCGGGTAGAGACGGCCGCGACGGCCGCGGCCTTGGAGGGGAACCTCTCGACGGAGACGTCGCGTATACCCAGGCCGCCGACCCCTCCCCGTTCTCATCAGCAGGCTGGCGGCGACGGCTCCCACGAGCACCGCGCTCACTGAGGCGTGCGGTATAATAGCAGAGAGTG